GACATTGGTGACATCAGCGGCGGCTCCCTGGACTGGCTTGAGGTGGTGGGGCAGCAGGCATGGCGGGCCAGCCCCGCCGCGGATGGGGCTTTGTGCGGCCTGCCAGCATTGGACGGCGTGCCTGCCGCCCCAGTTGTTGGCACTGGCGCCGGCGCTGGCAGGGTCGGGGGTGTTGGGGGGCCCCACAAGGCAGCGAAAGCTGTTGGTTGGCGGCTGTCGCCCTCCGTTTCAGCGGCTCTGCCTGCAGCGGCCACGCCACGGCGTGTGAGCTCGCCTGCCGGCGCCGCCCTGCCCAGCCACGCCGCAGCTGCGGCGTCACCGCCCATCACCCACGCTCTCGGGTTGTCTGGCGTGGCGGCGTGGCGGGCGCCTGACGACGTTGGACGGCGCTTTGCTGATGGCGGCCACTTTCTGTTCACGGCGGCGGCCAGCAAAGCTGAGCAGCTGCTGGTGCACTACGGGCTGCTGCCCTGCTGATTATGCGGTGTTTTGTCCATCAACCGTTCTGACCAGCTGGTGGTTGTACCGACGTAGGGACCAGAACTCAATGACACGTTTGGAAAAAGCTGTTCAAGCAGCCTGCAAAACGCATGCCGGACGGCTTTTTCTCCCTTTCACAGCTGCACCCGGACGGTGCCGGTGCAGCGTCATTCGCAGCAAGTGGCCAATGCGTCTCGGCTTGCCATTGCGGCGGCCATCTCAATCACTTTTGCATACTATGTTGTCAATCATACGTTATGCCCCGCCGCATGGACTGACACGTGCAGCCGCCAACAAACACCGCCTAATTGTTATGCACACGTTACATTGTTGCGCACAGTGGGCTCGTGGCTGGTGCCGCCCGTGTGATAGCGCTGCTTCGACTGCTTCCGCAGTGCGCCGGACTTCGTTGGCAGGTGCTTGTGCTGCCCACGGCCAGCAACGGTGCACGCAGAGCCCTGCCATGCCTTCAACCGGAACTATGACCGCGCCTCCATTTGCCGTACAGAGCATCTGCGCCGCGTGACGCATTCCTTGCAAAGCAGCGTGCGATTTGTTGGAGGCGCATGGTGGGCCCCTTGCCATTCAAGTACCGTGTGTTTAAAGTGCTCGGCTGGCAGGTGGTCGCCTTCTTGGGTCCTACATGTACAGGACCCACATCACCTGCACACTATCCTGGATTGGTTCCTTCTTTGCAGTGCTTTGAACCTCGCATCCCACGGCCCACAAGTGTAGCTGCATGTAGGCACGCATCAGCAGCGCCTTGAAGCACGAGCACCTGACCGTCAGCTGCCATGGGGGTGTGCAACATGGGCGCGCGGGGCCTCACACATGACTGCTTACTTTCTGCTTTTTTGCCCCCGTGACTGCTCCAACACGCGATGTGCCAAGGTCTGTTGCGCTGTGAAGCGGCCGGCTGGCCGAGCCGCTGGTCTGGCAGGCGTGATGGCCTTGCCGGGTTGGGCAACGATGCTTTGGCAAAGTATTGTAGGGTGTTGTAAAACGCTTTGTCGGCGCTCTTGTACAAACAACAACCACCTCACAGCTTGCTTAAACGCAATATGCCTGGGCTCCCTTGCCCCATCAGTGGCTTGGGTCTTCGCCACATGAGCCTGGACCATGGCTCAAAGGCCTTGCAGAACAAAGCTGCATGCTGTGGAGGTTCAGCTCAATCGGTCACCTGGAAGGTCTGCTGACTTGACATGTAGTGGATGTTGTTGGCTCATGTGCAACAACGCCGCCGCTATGGGAGTTCAAATCTTAAGGCGGCCCAGCCGCTGCAGCGCCAGCATGAGCTCGCTGCGAACAGCATGAGCCCTCTGAGCGCCGTTGCTGCGGCGAGGGCCGTTGCCAGGCTGGAGCCAGAGGGGCAGACAGGAAACTAAACAAGCCGTTGACGAGCTGCAACAGTGTGCACACTCGGACAGCATAGTGGCCACCCCACCAAGATCTGACACTGAGGTGACGCAACACCGAAGCCGAATTCACCCTGCAGGCAGGGTCTCAAACAGGGCACGTCTGCCGTCAACGAGCGCTGGTCCCTTGCCCTTTTTCTCCAGGATTTTTGTTCACTCGCCACATCACCCACTGCAGCATATGTGGGCAAGCAAGCACACGGACGCCTCAGCCGCGCGCAGCAGGCGGCGGCAAGCGAGCCGCTGCGGCGCTCGTGATTGGGGATCGCATGCGCCTGCGATGACGCCGACAGCTGGATCTGGCTGCTGGTGGAGTGATGGCAGCACTGTAGTAGCTGCTGCACGGGGCTCTGCGGGCGGAAAGCGATACCGTAGCTGCATCGATCGATACAGTCACTGCAAGCAATACGGTGGGGTGTGCGGGCTGCTGCCTTGCTGCGAGCTGCATGATATTTTGGAGGTACAATGTGCCATATTGAATTTAATGCTTCAAGGAACAACGGCCCAGCATTGAGCGGATCTGATCAATTTGTAATTTTGGCGCGCCAGTGATCTCGTGATCTCACCCCTGAACCAAAAGCCCATTCGGCAGCAGCGTGATGGTATCGGTGTAACTCATACCATGCAACAGTTTTAGCGAGCCAGAACCGCGACTGCGCAGCTTGCTGCTGCTATTCGGCCATCTCCGCTTGCGGACGCTTCATAAGCTTGTGCCCTTGCCTTATCAGCTGCGCAATACGGCCGAACCGCATCAGGCATGGCGGTGCACCTGATCTACACGGGCAGCGGGCTGCCGCAGCCCGATGTAGTCGCGTGCGCCAGAGAGAGGACATACCTGCGTGACGGCGGCGCCCTGCTGGCCGCCCTCGACTGCACAGGGCCTGGCACCGCGACGCTCACGTGCCTCTCACGCTCCAAGGCTCTACTCGTGCAGAAGGAGGGCGCCGATGGCATCCAAGTGCTCGTCAAGTGAGGCCCATGCTTGGTGATCATGCGCTTGCACGTCTCAGGCCCGACTCTTGCTAAACTGGTATGTTAATGTCAGCCCAGCCCCATCCCGTACATCTTCTCGCTGCTGTTTGCCCAGGGGCAACGCCTGCATCCTTGCCATTGGCAATGAACTCGTCGTCATGGACCGCGCGGCACTGGCCGGCGCGGCGCCCCCGAGCGAGCTGCCAGACGATGCAGCGCTCGCCTTCATGCTGGCAGAGGCGCCGCCCGGCTCCGCCGCCGCAGCCGCAGCCGCCGCCGCAGCCGCGGCCGGCGACGGCGGCGCGCCGGGCGGCCAGCAGCAGCCGGTGGTGTCGGCGGTGGCGGCGGCAGCGGGTGCGGCAGCCGCAGGCGTCCGCGTATGGGTGAAGGCAGAGCCTGACGGCTTGGCGCCGGGTGCGGCCACGCCGACCCATGTGGCCCCTCCAACGGTGCCTGCCCCTGTGGCCAGCCTGCCTGCCGGCAGCAGTGGCTGCCCTCAGGCTGCTCAGCAGCAGCCTGGAGGCGGCCGCGGCTCTGGGCACGTCGAAGCTCCTGCTGCTGCTGTCCCTCCTGTGCGAGGATCCGAGGCGTTAGGCAAGCGCAACAGCACAGAGCAGGTCAACTGGGGCGAGAGCCCCCTTGCCATTTCGCTGCGCCTCCTGGCAGAGAACCAGGTCGCAGCGTCGCGTGGCCGGCCGCCGCCGGCGCCGGCGCCCGCTCACGGGACACCGACGCTCCAGCCCGCTGACACGCACAGCGGCGGCGGCAGCGGCGCCCTGCCCGCGACCCCCGCATCCGGCTCCAAGCGCGCCGCGCCGCCCGGCGACCAGGAGCTGCCGCCCGCCGTGCGGGTCAAGGCTGACCCAGAGGCCACAGATGGCGCGGGCACGGGCATTGACGGCGGCCACGCCGGCGCCGCCACCGGCGCCATCAAGCCGCCCCAGCCTGACCCTCTGCAGGAGGTGCCCGCGCAGTGTGCTGCTGTCGCATCAGAGCTCCGCGCCGTGCTCTTCGACGGCGCCGCAGCGCCGTCTGGAGCCGGGCCCTCTGGCGCCTCGACATCGAGCGGCGCGGGCGGTCAGCCTCCCAAATCCCGCATGGCTGGCCCCGAGATGTCGCGGCTGTGGGACAAGGAGCTGCGGGAGCTGGAGGCGGGCAGCGCCGGCATGCCGCGCGTCATTATTGGCGTCGTGGGGGACACGGGGTCAGGTGGGTGGGGGTGTGGGTG